TCGAGACATGTTAGGAAAATGTAATACGGAATGGTAGATGAACCTGGATACTTTGGTTCTATCTACGGTACAGTGGCTATCAAAAGTAAATTGGAATAAGATGATGGTGTTTTTTAACTTATCTAAATTATCGAAATATTTATGCTTTCTATCATTCTTTTGTTATTATGATTTTTATTATTATTATTTGTTATATAATAGCGAAGACATAAGTACGGGTAACTCCCAGGACCTATTATTGGACTATTATTCTATGTATATTCCTATTGTATAACTATTCAGTAGCTAGATTATCTATATCTATATTCATCTTATTACAAGCTTCATTTTGACCTATTGATTATTATTATACGATTTACTGTTCCTAAACTATACTCAGTTTATTAATTATTGTCTCCCACGCTTACAGCCACATTTGGCTTGATTTTATACAAATATTATTTTCAATTTTATGGTGTGACCTATCTGTCTGATATAAAACGAGTATGTTTGAAATAAACGATTCGTACAGATTCGCATAACAGCAGCTGCTGTTGGTGTTCTGGACTCAAGTGGACGTGCTAGGCGGATTAAGGACCAATAAGGACGCGAGATTACTCATACTGATTGGACGTTCCGACTGTTGCTGCTACCTTGACGTGGCAGTCGGGCTTGCCTATCGTGATGAACCAATCGAGCTATGCTGGCTGGAACAATCGTTCCTCAAGGTCCTACCATGCCAGACAGGTCGGTTGATGTGCGGTAAGACTAAAAGCAGCAATCCCAAGGTCCGAAGGCGAAGTCGTACTGCCGACTGTACAGAGGTGTGACGGAAGTAAGGTGTTTCCTTCATACAACCAGCATGACAGCGATGCTGCCTTCCCACAAGGAGGGGTGGGGTTAGAAAAGGTCGACCCTGAAAATGCACACCTCGCCTTATCCCACGGATTTCCGTCTCCGGCGGTAAGGTCCTTTGAAGATCGGAGCTAACACGTCAAAAATCCCCCACAAAAAGGCCCTGCGTGACCGGCCTCAAGCAGTTGTCCCTTGGGCACTGCGATTACGCTCCCAGGTCGTTAAGACCAACACTAATCCAACTTCTTTTTCAGGTCCCTCAAGAAATACCCTTCCATGGTGTTGGCAGCCGAGAAGTGATATTAGCCCTCATACCCGTAACAGCATACGAGACCAAGTTGGTCACATTCAAATCCTTCCTACACCTAATAACTCTCTTATCTCCACGACTAACCCTTCCCACGTCCTTTTATCACCTCGCACCGCTAGGGCAAACGATTCAGGTACACGGAACGTTATTCCTGGTCTCCTAAAACCACGCTTTAAACTACATGTAGGAACTTTTAATGTCCCAACTTTGTGCGAAATAAGACAACAGGCTTCCTTAGCTAGGACTTTAGAATCTTACACCTTCAATGTGTGCTGCGTCTCCGAAACGCGCATACAAGACCGCACCTAATCAAAATAAAGAACCATCTTGATACACGCTTCGTGTATCTGGGAGCCCTGATGCTGCTTCCCGTGGCCTCGCTGGAGTAGGTATAGCATTAAGTGCCGTGGCAGAACTAGCTCTTTTAGACTGGATCTCAGTAGACAGTCTTCTGTGCACTGTCCGACTAAACGGATCAGTAAGGACTCGGAAAGATAGGGAGACTCGTCATTGCCTCTTCGTCGTCTCTGCCTACTCTCCCACTGACTGCAGCTCAGACAATATAAAAGATGAGCTTTACAGGAAACTTTCTGACCTTCTCCGAAAAGCTAGGCGTTCTGATATAGTATTAGTGGCTGGTGGCTTTAAGGCTCAAGTAGGTCAACTAAGTGAAAGGGAAAGACACCTGGGTGGATCTTATGGTGTCATGGCGGAAAGAACAGATAATGGCGACCGTCTGTTGCAGCTGTGCTCAGATAACCGCCTATTTCTTGCAAATACTAACTTTAAGCATAAGGAAAAACATCTTTTGACATGGCGACCCCCGAATTCGTCCCAACGTTGGACCCAATCAGATCACATCGCTATCAGCCACCGATGGAGGGGCTCGATTGAAGACTGTTGCTCATTCTGGAGCACATGTTTAGACTCAGATCATGCTCTAGTGCGAGCACGTATCTGTCTGCATCTTACTGGACGTAGGAAAGACACTGCAGGGAAGCCTCTAAGGGTTCTACGTAATGACAGGCGAGCTAAGAATATATTTCAGGAACAACTGGAGAAACAGTTAAGCAGACATGTAAGTAGTGCCCACCCCGAGGCAGCGTGGAATGACATCTGAAAAGCTATGGAAACAGCAGTGATATCCGCTAGTAAGGTAAGCCATAAGGTCAGGGAGAAAAAATGGATCTCGGCAGCATCTACCGCACTGATAGATGCTCGAAAACTCCTCCCACCTGGCTCTGAACATAAGGAAGAGCGGAGTCAGCTTAAGCGAAGGCTAATAAGAAGCCTACGTAATGATCGTGAACAGTGGTGGGTAGCGAAAGCAAGAGAGATGGAAAAGGCAGCGGCAATAGGTAACAGCAGACAGCTATTCAGACTTGTTAAAGAAACCGGTATTAGGAACCCAACTATCATCGAAATTATCTCAGATAAAGATGGGCATAACATTCATTCTCAATCCAGGAGATTGGATCGATGGGCAGAACACTTTAGGGATCAGTTCAACTGGCCTTCAGCCATACTTCAGTTTCTCACGATCCCCAGTCGTCCTGAATGGCAAACTGAAGTAAGTCCTCCAACTCTCTACGAGGTTGAAAAAGCTATAGGAAATCTGAAGCGAGGGAGAACAGCAGGCCCTGACAGGTTGACCCCTGAGATTTTTAAGGATGGTGGTCCAGTACTAGCAGTGAGATTGACTGAGGTCTTAGTTAGAATCTGGGAACTGGACGTAATTCCATCTGACTGGTCCCAATCACTAATTATGCAAGTCCTCTTGTGACAATCACAGAGCGATCAGTTTGACTAATATAGTGTCTAAAATATTAGCTTCAATAATACTTGGACGCCTAACCAAAGCTTGTGAAGAGCAGACTAGAGAAAACCAGGCTGGTTTTCGACCTGGACGTGGTTGCATAGACCAGATATTCACTCTACGTCAGGTCTTAAAGCATAGACACACATTCAGATGTCCCAAAATAGAAGTATTTTTTACCTTGAGGCGGCATTTGTTTCCGTTGATCGAGAGGTTCTATGGCAGTGTTTGTCACTGGAAGGAGTATTAAAGAAGTACATTAACCTCATAAAGGCTCTCTACTCGAACACAACTGGTCTAGTTAGAGCCTATGGCGAACTGTCATCAGAATTGCTTACCTGAAGTGGTGTTCGTCAGGGCAGTCCACTCTCACCATTCTTGTTTAACTTTGTCGTTGACATACTTTTAGAGATAACACTTTCATCAGCTAAACCTCCAGGAGTTGAACTTTTACCAGGAGGCTTACTTGTTGACTTAGAATACGCCGACGACATAGTTTTATTTGGTGAAGACGCTGACAAAATGCAGAGTCTTTTGACCACTATAGGCAACTATGCAGGCATGTTCGGGATGCGGTTCTCCCCCTTGAAGTGCGAAATGTTACATCAGGATTGGGTTGCATCGACACCTGAACTAATGATAGGGAGTGAAGTAGTTGAGCGTGTTGACCGCTTCACTTATCTTGGGAGTCTCATCAGCCCTTGTGGTCTGGTGTGTGACGAAATCTCAGCACGGATACAGAAGGCTCGCCTAGCTTTCACCAACTTGCGTCATTTATGGCGTAGGCGAGATATCCGTCAAGCAACCAAAGGACGGGTTTACTGTGCAGCAGTTCGTTCCATCCTACTTTATGGCAGTGAAACATGGCCGATAAGAGTAGAGGATATTCGTAGGCTACTAGTGTTCGATCATAGATGTCTTCGAAGCATTGCTCGCATATCCTGGGACCACCGGGTAAGTAATGCAGTTGTTAGGAAACGGGTACTAGGTAAGGATGGCAAATCAATTGATGAAGTAGTGAAACTTCATCAGTTGAGATGGCTGGGGCACGTGTTACCTATGCCCAACCACCGACTGCCCTGACGTGAAATGTTTAATGGTGTAAGAGTAGGTTGGAAGAAAGTTAGGGTCGGCCAGAGCAAAACGTGGCACGAATCCATGAAGTCGCTGACAAGTGGACTGAGCCATGTTGGTAGGTGTGGACTACGTGATTAGGATCTGAGAGACGATAGCAATCGATGGTTAGAGACCTTGAGTGACATGACTCGGAATCGTTTGCAATGGCGCAGTTGCATCCACACTTTGTGTTCTCCCAAATTCTAGTCTTCTGGGTTCTTCATGTCTCTATCTTTTTTCTCTTTCCAAATCTATTTCACCGGATTATACTTCTTGAATAACATCTTCGAACCGTAATCTTTCGGATTACTGCTTATACTCTTACTACCTCTACCAGTATGTGATTTGAATCAACAACTGCATGTCTGTGCTAATGTGGTATGTGAGATGACAGCTCGAACTGATGTAGGTACGTACGAAGTTCTACGCTGTGACTGACTGGTTGAACGTCCTTGATTGTCACCGTGTTAAGGTCGGGGAAGTCGTATTGTATGGGTGGATAATTAACGCGAGTTACTTCCTTGTTTAATTTGTAAGGTCATAACAAATTAGCCACGACCTTGACAAGTCATAACAATCGGCTACAACCTTTAACAAGACATAATAATTGGCGACGGCTAGGTCAAGAGATAACATTATTAACAATTCACTTAGTATTGTTTGTTTGGATCTTCCCATCGATGTGTTTAGGGCTGCAACTGGTCAGTCTCTAATTGGCATATGTGCATACTGTGCGTATTGCCTCGATATACCTTAATTCACAAGCATGGTAAGCAGAGATGGATAGTGGCTAGCAGTGGAATTATACTAGAATAAAATCTAAGTCATATGATTTTACTCTCTTTATGTCATGTAATTTGTCAATCATATTAGAGTGATCATAATTTATTTTTACTATTTGATTATTTTACAAAATTTTATTAGATTCTACAGTTTTCCATACTTTACGATGGACTGACGTATTGGATTCAATATTTCCAACTGAACCTAATTTACATTTTACATATTTTGCAAGTTTCACTGGAATTTTACGTGTATATCCAGGTATGTTGAATTGATCGGCACTATGTCACATGTTTATACTTTTTTAGAATTATATTCTAGTCGAGAATTTACAACTTGTTATTTTCCAGAATTTGGATATTAAAATTTATGAATTTTTAACAATATAATTGTAACATGAAATGAAATTTGTTGAAGAGTTCTTGACAGAAAATAAAACTGGATAATTTAATCAACAGAGTTAAATCTACACTGAAAGATTGGGGAAACATGATACTTGTAACTACTTATTGACTAATCTGTCTTAATTATCTCAGTCTTACAAAAGATCAATCACTGATGGATTAACCATAGGTAACGTCTCAGACCATGAGATAAGGTGATGGTGAGCCTAATCCCATAATAAATGTCACTTACCTCGAAATTATGGGTACTCTTTGCTGATGAGCGCCAAGTGACTCTAACATTGCCCCCAAATGCCCTGGTACGGCCGAGAGTAGGGAGAGGCCAGCCTCCCTCTCCAAATGCTCTCACATGGCCACGCGTATATAGCCTCTACCAGGGAAGTCCTACTCATTGCCTTCTCAGGGAGGGGATGTTGTTTACGAAATTGAGAGGACGAAAAGAGAATGTCCGGCGCTTTAACCGGGTTGGTGGACAAGGAAAGTTCATCTAGGGGAGTTGGAAAACCCTGATTTCAAACCAATGGTGCACATGGACCCCAGTATCCTGACGGAACGAATGGCGTATGAACCTCTTGTTGGTCACAGGCTACCATGGGACTGCATCTCCTCACGATGCTCCACTGCCTTGTGGATCAGACCTTTAGGTCAAAGGCTCGGGGTGTGGCCCCTAAGAAAACTACCTGCCTCGGTCTGGTCACTCGGGCAGTATCACAGCCCTCGCGCAAATCAAATGAGGTTTGTGTGGCGCATATATGTCTGGTGCCCTTTTGTACCAATATTTATGTGTTTAAATAAATAAATAAACACTAACATTTTGTCAAGGATTTCCTCTCGACTACTTCTAAGCATCTAGCATCTCAACATAATGAGTTATTCAGGTTAGTAGCTATACTGTAACTTGATCGATAGAATCAAATCAGCACAAAGAACTAGACAAATATGACATTAATCACTTTTCAATGATTCATAAAGTGAAAAAATGTGGAAAAAGTGCTTGTTTTAATATAAATCGAATTTTATGAAAATTTTCTTTCTCTTCACCGCTATTCGAATAGTCATCTCGGTCTCTCATATTGTCTGGACATTCCACGTACCTATATTTGTTGACATGGTTGTTAGAACGGAAATAGACCTCATGACTTTTGAAGAATCTCGGCTTTCACTAAAATGCGTCGTAAGCCTTGTAAGTGGGAACCCATCAGCTCACAGGGTAGAGTTCAAATGGTTTAAATGATTTTCCCTGGTTTACACTTTGCTAACAAGGTTCCTTTTTAAGGGTTGGGAATGAGAACCCTAAGCCCAACTCTCCTTCTTTGTCCGGGCTTGGAACCGGTAGTAGCTTCAGGCGGAGCTACAAAAACTGCCTGCGAGCACTTTTAGGATCTTTATTTATTTCATCGAGCTTTGTGTCAAAACTCACTATTAGTCCTTTCTTGACTTTTGCCCATACGCCATGTGAACTTAAATATAATTACTGGTACGTATACTTAACTGAATTTCTCGAGTCAAGAGATCGTGGCTGCCCATTTAGATCATAATAAACACATCATAAAAATTCGCTACAATGTTGTGAAATTTTATTCAAATTTTTGACGTTAAAGACATTCAGCGGTGACGTTAGCTTTTCATAAACAAACGGTTTTATCTCTGATCCTGGAAACAAATCTAAAGCCACCTGACGTGGTACAAATTCTCTGAATCTAGTGGGCAACGACTGTTTGAATAATTAAAACATGATGCTTGACTTTCCATATCGTGTTCTGTAAAGAATCTCTACACTTGATTAATCATTCCGTTGTGACCAATGTCGAGTATTTTAAGCCCTTCTTAGTACTGATAGAATTCTATAGATCAAGTTGTAAAGCAGTCATTAGTCTAAGTGGCTTGACAAGCGATCAATCGTAATACGAAGAGCCCAGTAGTAATGTCTCTGACTGTGAAGCTGATTGGTATGGTGTCGAATCCGCCAGATGGCATCAATTTCTTCATATTTATAGACACACGTTTCTTTATGCGTGCACAAAACCTAGAAGATGTATAATAGAGTAAAATGTGATTAATCATTAAGTGTGGACAAGATAGGAAGCCCATTCAACTATTTTGTTATTTGTCTACTTGTCGTAATTTAGACATTTGACCTACAGTGTATGAGTGTGATTGTGCGCATGTCTGAACATCAATCTTCATCTATTCTCACATAAGTTGGAAACACAGACAATCAATAACCTATCCACAAACACTCATAGATATATATGGATTTTTAACACTCACACATACTCTCTCACTGATTTCCTTGTGTGTTTGTTTTCTATGAGCTTGCGGATTTTGGTAATCATCCACAATAAACTGTCTCTACAACAGATGTTCTGGCTTTTGAATAATCTCGAGTAAATCCATAATACTACTAGGAGATTTAGCTTACATAAATGCTAAGTTAACGGGATACTATTTGTTAGAGTCAGATAGGGAGGAAATTAGCTTCTACAGACAAATAGACACAGCATCCTGACTATTAAATATTTGATTTCCTTTCTTGTTATTGATTTCTAATTTCGACTCCCTTAGAGTGGCTACTAGTAACTATTGAATACAGTATTATCTAGCGTTACTTTGGTTCCCCACTTTTGGTCATGAATCGTGTATTTGATATAACGTGATCTAATCTCTACATTGTATACCGTTCATGTACCCAATCTAGTATATCATACCTCAGAGAGAGAGAGAGAATATTTAAACCATCCGTTATATCAACAGGCTAAGTAGAGCTATCGGCGAGACTATAATTTATGGACGACCTTTGAACGAATCTTAAATGACCTTGATAAACACTAACCAATCAGGAAACAGTTAGTATATCATACAAAAGCAAATAATCAAAATGGATACACTTCTTTTACATGGTCCGAAAACTTGTCACGGTTAGAAATAGGTTCGAAGGTTCCAAAATCGTAACGCATACGCAGAGGAACTCATCCATATGGCTCCATAATGGTCTATCTCTTGAGTCATGGTAAGATCCCAAATACTCTTCCGACCCCTACTACATAGCTTTAATATTGTTTGTGTGTACTCTGGCTGTGTAAACTTGTCATTTCTATTACGCATATATCTCTACAATACTCATACCACTGAACAGCCGAAGTATCAGTAACATCTGCTAATAATGTAGCCAATGCTATTGGTGCTTTTATTACATAGTTCGCAGCAATTATTATAATTTGCCTTAATCTCAATTTGAACAGAGAGAAAAAGTTCCTATTCTAGCGTACTTCATACAACACATATTACATCGAAAGACATCATAACGATAGTCTGCACAATATCTATAATTCATAAGATTACCGCAATCACAAATAAAGAAACGTTTTCGTGGTCCCATTTATTGTAGACGCTTAATTGTCACGTATTCTCTAAAACCTGCTATGAACCGATCGTACGTGGGCATCAGGTACTGAAATGGGCGTCGTGACCTTGAAACCCCCCAAACGCTTTTGATTGGCTCGTCCATAAATTATAGTCTCGCCGAGTTTTCTGTCAATTGCCCCCAGTCACCATCTTACACTTGTAAAGAATCCTTTAACTAATTGTCGGAATCAACATTCATATTAGGAAAGAGCAGTTAATTTCTTTGAGAAAATGCATTTGGCAAATCACGGTTTAATACTTCCATATAATCTCCTCAAAACCAAATGCATGTAAAATATAAGGTTACTGATTTGTGTATATGAAATTGCATTGAAGCTAAATTCATGTGCACACTAGAGACCTACTTCAAGACTATCTCCTCAAAGCCCCAGTTGTAGTCGTGACTGGTGAATATCTACCATGTCTAGAGTCTAATAGTCGTGACGATCACCACAGAATAACTTTTGCAGCATGTTAAGAATTGGAAATGCATACTGTGATTCAACCATGGCTCAGTGCTCGGCGTTAGAGCTGGAATTTACGGGTTAGCGTCCTGAGGGAAAAGTGGGTAGGCACAGTTGACGAGTCCCATGTCAAAACAAAACAGCCATTCAGTGCTGCTTGGTTTTCAATAGTACCCCTTATATGATCAATTTTTCACGAATAAAACCTACAATAAATGAAAAATATGAATAGGTATTTCAAACACAGTTTTCAGGAACAGTTTTTCGAAAACCTATTTCTTTGTTGCTGTTGTTTTCATTTTAGCATTCCCTTGGAGAGAACAAAATGTTGATATGTTTGATGTTCGTAGACGTTCTTGGTAAGTATTATTGTAAAGAATTATACTAATTAGTTTCCGAGTAAGCTCTATGATATATCTAATACTGCTATTAATATGTAGTTCCATCTGTTTAAAAATATCAAACCATTTAGTCATCAGGAAGTAATTCAGACTGTCATTGAATTATTATTGTCCATAAAAGACTTACGAAAAAATTCATCCGTTCTTTTTCATTTGTGAAGCTAACAAATGCAAGGACGTTCTATTTGCATGTTTCTTTTGTACATATATGAGACGGGAAGCTATTAATAAAGGTTTGAAGTTTCTGCGTTGTCAATATTAGGAACTGCAATTAATCAACCTTTATTGTTAAATATGGATCACAAGGCTGTATGGGAATACTTGTTAATAGGAAGTGATCAGATTCAGTTCTGTATACCAACGACGTGATGATACAAACCGTTATAATAAATAAATTCAAACACAAATTAGTGACTACTCGATACTCACTGGTTTTTGAGGAAATAGATTCTGGATCTCTATCAGAGTGCGAACATCATAGATGTCCTAGAACCGTTGTTTGCGAATTTTGGAACTAACGCACTAGCGATTCTGAGGTAATACTCACAGCACTAGGTAAGTATGGTTAATCAGTTGGAGGTAGGGAATCTTAATGGGTTGAGATGGCTGGGGCATGTATTACGTGTGCCCATCTACCAACTACCACAGTACAATGATACCTGGTAACGAAGTAGATTGAAAGATAGGGGTGGCCAAACTAAAACAAAAGATCAGTCCATGAAGACACTGACAACTGAACTGAACCATATTATTCACTGTAGATTACCTGGTTGGTGTCCATTGTGAAAATTAGAACATATGTAAGCGAACAATTGTTTTCAATTAGATCGTCATCAGGCTTCACTCCAATACACATGAATATTTATACAAAAATGTTAAACCACTCAAGGCAATTTGAGCCAATAATCACAATGAAATAGAATACGTTACCGTGCATAATAATTAGTAGAATAATATGAATTAGGTCAGATAAAGTAGATAGGATTGGATGCTGAAAGGTTAGCAAGTGTGACAATAATAATAATGACTGGCAAGATGAGTAGCTAAAATAAGTTTAGGTTATAAAAATGAACATTAATCAGATTAATGTCACCATATTATAAAATTGATTATTAACAAGTTGACCCTGAAGTTGGCCAGGGTAAAAGGAGCGACTGAACATATTTCTTTTGGATGCAAAGCTCTGGCTTTTTCATCCGAATAGCAATTGCCTCAGCCGTCTGCAGTATTCTCAGTTTGACGGAATTAAGTAGGCTGCTGTTAGCACGATATATTATTGTGAAAGATTGCTCGATGTTGGCTCTATGTCCCGTTTGAACTAAATGGGCTAAAATGGAGCTATTAACCGTTTTGACTACACCTTTGCTTAACCATACTGGGAGGTGTTCACGAGCCCGAATATACAAATTCCTAGAACATCTGCCTATATAATTTTCTATTACAAACACTCCTTGATTCACATGTTACAGTTTTAAATGATGTACTCTGCCTTAAACTTGGCCAATTTTTTATGGATTATTAACTTGGACTTACAATTGTGGAACCTGCTGGGAAATTATTGAAAAGAATACTCTTCGTTCATATAATTGTTTTCATATATTATTTGTGATGTGTGGGTGAGAATTATAATGATTGGTTGTTTTCATAAGTCAGATATGTATATAGTGTGACAGGTGTTATATGTGTTATATATTCTCTTATCCTGACCGTTCTTGTCGTTAGATTGTGTCGGATTTCGGCGTGGAAATATATTGACGTTCTAGTCAGGCTAATCTCGTGTTCTTGATCTGAGTTGTGTTGAAGTCCTGTATAGTCCTGTATATATATATATATATATGAAGTATAAATATTTGTTTAATACTGTGAGCATCATATAAGTATTTATATACATATGTTTCTATTTTCACTCTTATTTACATAAGGTTTATACAAGGTTCATCTGTTCCCAAAGATCTGTTCATATTACTTGACACGTAAGTTCGAATATTTTTTATATACTGCCGTTGAACAGTCCAACAATGTCTTAAATGTTATCTTTGAGGAAATGGCTAAAGGATATGATTATTATCAGAACTTTAAGAATGTTCACTGTTAGATGGTCTTGATTAATAAACTCATTTTCAAATACAAAGATAATGGTTGTATTCATTAACATATATTTTCGATTGCGGAATGTTGAAAATGAACTAGTTGAAAAGTAATTTCAAAATAAAATTACAAAAATAAGGTAGTTACCAAGTAAGTTCTGGGGACCTATCATCCCCAACAATATATATGACTGCGAAACATAATCATTTACTTTCGATCTTGATTAATAAGGTGACCACTAATAGGTAAGATATATTAATAGAGGTTTTCTCTTATTGACCTCCCTTAAAATATTGAATAAAGCTCACTCATTCAGCTCGTTCCAGTTTTTTTCTTATAAATACCTTTATATAAACAAAAGTACTACACATTACCCAATATTATTTATATTAATTCACCTGTCATTTATTAAATATTATTTTAGGAGTGGAAGTATGACTGGTCAATCATTAAAACTGGCTAACTTATCAGCTCAAAAACTAATTGAAGCTCTAGATGTGGATGATTATTTCACCGTAGCACATGTAGGACTTTTTCTGTTCAAACTTTATAAAATTTTGGTTTCATTTTTTCTATTACACGAGTTTTCTAAACAAAGTCGATTTGTAATAAAAGTTCTGTTAAAATTTTTTTACCATAGACCATTAAAATAGTATAATGTTTGTTCTAAACTTATTTTTTGTTCCAGCTCAACTTTTTATGCTAGAACTTCATTCAATCTAATTCAGGTATGTGCATAATATCGCAAGCCTTTTCACATACAGAGTGGTTGAAAAACGGATATAAAAAATATACCTAATAAGTGAAAAAATCTCTTCAGCTGTTTGATCACATAGTAATAAAGGATATCGTATTTCAAAATGCGTAATATGAACAAAGAGTTTCTCTTTCAATAAGTTCTCAAGTTCTCTATAGTTTAAGAAATTTAGGATTATCGGCTGAAAAAAATGAAAACATTGATTTGGACGAATAATTGTAAAACCTGATGAAAACTTATTAAAAAGTATATTTGTTGATTATTATAATGTGATATTGGTTTGGACCCTAAATGGTTATCGAATCTTGTCGGTCAATTCGCAATGTGGCGACTAGTCTGAGTGAATCAGCATGGTGTTGAAACTTCAGACTGTTGGAGATAGTCGACATTAAACCCTGCATGACCTAGATACCATGCTAGTTGATTAGTGTCATTAAAAATTACTTGCAATATCTAAGGAATTGGTGCTCCCAGGTTGTTAAGGCCAACACTAATCCAACTTCTTTTTCAGGTCCCTCAAGAAATACCCTTCCATGGTGTGGGCAGCCGGGAAGTGATATTAGCCCTCATACCCGTAACAGCACACGAGACCAAGTTGGTCACATTCAAATCCTTCCTACACCTAATAACTCCCTTATCTCCACGATTGATCCTTCCCACGCCCCTTTATCATCTCGCACCATCTCGACGACAACTGGTCAAGTTAGAGCCTATGGCGAACTGTCATCAGAATTGCTTACCTGAAGTGGTGTTCGTCAGGGCAGTCCACTCTCACCATTCTTGTTTAACTTTGTCGTTGACATACTTTTAGAGATAACACTTTCATCAGCTAAACCTCCAGGAGTTGAACTTTTACCAGGAGGCTTACTTGTTGACTTAGAATACGCCGACGACATAGTTTTATTTGGTGAAGACGCTGACAAAATGCAGAGTCTTTTGACCACTATAGGCAACTATGCAGGCATGTTCGGGATGCGGTTCTCCCCCTCGAAGTGCGAAATGTTACATCAGGATTGGGTTGCATCGACACCTGAACTAATGATAGGGAGTGAAGTAGTTGAGCGTGTTGACCGCTTCACTTATCTTGGGAGTCTCATCAGCCCTTGTGGTCTGGTGTGTGACGAAATCTCAGCACGGATACAGAAGGCTCGCCTAGCTTTCACCAACTTGCGTCATTTATGGCGTAGGCGAGATATCCGTCAAGCAACCAAAGGACGGGTTTACTGTGCAGCAGTTCGTTCCATCCTACTTTATGGCAGTGAAACATGGCCGATAAGAGTAGAGGATATTCGTAGGCTACTAGTGTTCGATCATAGATGTCTTCGAAGCATTGCTCGCATATCCTGGGACCACCGGGTAAGTAATGCAGTTGTTAGGAAACGGGTACTAGGTAAGGATGGCAAATCAATTGATGAAGTAGTGAAACCTCATCAGTTGAGATGGCTGGGGCACGTGTTACCTATGCCCAACCACCGACTGCCCTGATGTGAAATGTTTAATGGTGTAAGAGTAGGTTGGAAGAAAGTTAGGGTCGGCCAGAGCAAAACGTGGCACGAATCCATGAAGTCGCTGACAAGTGGACTGAGCCATGTTGGTAGGTGTGGACTACGTGATTAGGATCTGAGAGACGATAGCAATCGATGGTTAGAGACCTTGAGTGACATGACTCGGAATCGTTTGCAATGGCGCAGTTGCATCCACACTTTGTGTTCTCCCAAATTCTAGTCTTCTGGGTTCTTCATGTCTCTATCTTTTTTCTCTTTCCAAATCTATTTCACCGGATTATACTTCTTGAATAACATCTTCGAACCGTAATCTTTCGGATTACTGCTTATACTCTTACTACCTCTACCAGTATGTGATTTGAATCAACAACTGCATGTCTGTGCTAATGTGGTATGTGAGATGACAGCTCGAACTGATGTAGGTACGTACGAAGTTCTACGCTGTGACAAACTGATGAACCTACAACTCGTCATTTGAAAGTGACTCACTCCTGAAGGCTTCAACTAACACTATTCATTATAGAAATTTGTGCTTTTATCACTAAAGTTCTAACTGTGCAATAATCATTTTTCTAACGGAACTCTTCTTCTCCTCATACATTTAGCCAAGTACTCATTATTCAGTCAATTATTTTTAATTTGTTCTAAATATTTTTAATCGTTGTGCATAGTTTCCTGGAGCCAAAGATCATGTTGCACCAATGATTGTCACGGCAAATAATGAAAGCGAACCAATTTGTTTTAATTCATTTGTTCAGGCAACTAGACGTAATAAGCTGGTGAGTTCCATTTTTATTTCGATTATTGTTTGCTTACCCTTCCCATTTGTAGAATTTGAAAGATGAATAGAATTTATGGTGCACAGGCCAATAACGGAATCATTTTATTACTTCACTTAGGAAAGATAGGTTTCTTAAATTTGTAGTTAGGAATTACGACGTGTATGAAGTTAATCACGTTAAGCGTAAAGACACAAAATTGTTTATGACAGTCAAAGAAAATTTCGCATCAAATGAATTTTAAAGGTTCTTACCCCTGAGTTTTATTTTATCAATTCAACGGTAACAAGTAAAATATCAGTCTGTCAGTTAAGGATGAAACATAGCCTATAAAAGTAGAATCCATGGGTAGTCTGCAAGACTCTGGTCATAGGTGTCCTAAAAGTATTGCTCACCTGTGGTAGAAAAACCAGATGAGTGATGCTGAGGTTTGAAATCGACAATGAATGAGGTGTCTGGGACAGGTCCCACGTATCTGCAACCATCATCTACTTAATCGACACTTGAAAGGGATCTCTGAAATGGCCATTAGAATTTTATAAATTTACTTTAAACTTTTTTCAAGTTTCACTAAAAGCCTTTTTAGCTTATATCATGTACTTAATGGATATACCATAGAAGAATTATATGCTTTTAGTTAGTTTACCAAGTATATGAAATACCCACGACTAGTCTATCCATTCACTAAGCGAACCTATCCACTTAATACATGGGAATTAGGAAATCCTGTCTGAAAGTAATTAATTGACAAGAAACTTAATATACATATTGTACGTAGTCATGTCAACTTCCTTTTATGTCATAACTACTAACCTGTTTTCCTCTTTTTTAAATCTTGTATTCAAACACTCAAGCGCCTCTTTTACGATTTGAGTACTCTGAAAGCACGTGGTTATTCCGATTTTCCAGCATCATTGAAATTCGCTTATGAAATGTTTCGTAATGTAAGTAAAATTCTTACCGCTTTTATATTTCAGAAATCCTTTAGTTTAACCATACTTTATATTACAACGTTCATTGGTTTGATAATATGCAGACAATGAGAATTCAGCGAAGAAAATTTTCTTTTCGACGAAATCATTTACTTAGGCTGTACATTCGTATATATAGTTATATTGAAAATATATGTTTATAGGAGGATAGAAAAGATTGTACCATAAATTGATTAGGGAATAAATAACAAATGAGATTACGTATTAATCAAGGGGTTAAGGAAGAAAATAATTTATGGGGTTGCAATGGGTTCTCCATTGGGTCCTCTGTTGGTTGATTGTTTCATTGCCAATCTAGAAAATTTGGTACTTCGGCCAATAATCGAAGGATTTCATTTATATAAGAGATATATGGATGTTACTTTTATTATTTGTGAAGAAGACATGGACCTCAATGAAATCTTGAATATTTCCAATGATTGTCACCCGTCATTTCAATTTACCCTAGAAGCAAAGGAAAAACAGAATTTTCATCCGAATCGTTTTCTCCAGTCGGTCCACCATTTTGGAATGTGTTAAATATAGACTTCCGCTTTGGGCCACATCAATGTGTATCTATAAATTTACTTGCTTATGTGAGGCACGTCACATAGGCCGCACAAAGCGATCACTTCCCAAACGCATCTCACAACACTATCCGGCTTGGCTCTTAAAAGAATAATGTAAAGCAATTGCTAGTTCGATACAGGAGCATTTCCCGACCGTTGCTGCTACCTTGACGCGGTGGTCGGGCTTGACTATCGTGATGAACAAAGCGAAATATACTGACTGGAACAATCGTTCCTCAAGATCCTACCAGGCCAGACAGATTGGTTAAAGAGCGGTAAGACTAAAAGCAGCAAACCCAATATCCGAGGGTGAAGTCGTGCTGCTGACTGTACAGAGGTGTGACGGCAGTAAGGTGTTTCCTTCATACAACTAGCATAACAGCGATTCTGCCTTCCCACAAGGAGGGGTGGGATTAGAAAAGGTTTACCCTCAGAATGTACAACTCGTCTTATCCCAAGGATATCCGTCTCCGACAGTAAGGTCTCAACAAGTACGGAGCTAATACAAAAATTACTCATAAAAAGGTCGTGTGTGACCGATCTCAAGCAGTTTTCTCTTGGGCATTGCAGTCACACTCTCAGGTCACTAAGACCAATTATAATCCAATTTTCTTTCCAGGTACCTATAGAAGATCCCTTCCACGGTGTGGGCAACCGGAGAGTGATAAACGCCCTCATACCTCTAACAACACTCAAGATCACTGTATTCATAATCAATCTCCTTTTTCAATTTCTATTATTCCTCCCACCTCGACTTTCAACACTAAACTTCCCCTTTGGGATTCCTCTTCAAGTGTCACCATAACCAACGGTTCAAGTGCGCGAAACACTGTCCTAGGTCTACTGAAACCTCTCTCAGAACTACACATTGGAGCCTTCAACGTACGCACCCCATGTGAAGTGGGGCAGCAGGCCTCCTTGGCTAAGACCCTAGAATTGCGTACGATTGATGTATTCTGTGTCTATAAAACACGCGCACAAGATCCTAGTGTTGTCATTCACTTGACCTCACCTCACCAAAACGGAGAGGCGACGAGATACACCCTCCGTGTATCTGGCGACCCAATGGCTAGTTTTCGTGAACTTGCAGGTGTAGGCATAGCGTTTAGTATGAGGGCAGAACAAGCACTATTATAATTGATCCCCGTTAATAGTCGCCTGTGTGCTGTCCAGCTAAATGGCTCCATAAGAACTCGGAAGGATAGGGACACACGTCGTCGCCTTTTCGTCGTTTCTGCCTACGCTCCCACTGACTGCAGCCATGATGAATTGAAAGATGACTTTTACAGAAAGCTCTCTGAACTTCTTCAAAAAGCTAAGCGTTCTGACATAGTACTCGTAGCAGGTGACTTTAATGCCAAATTAGGCAGCTTAAACCAAACAGAAAGACATCTAGGTGGATATTTTAGTATCCCCGCTCAGCGAACAGATAATCGTGATCGTCTGATGCAATCATGCTCAGACAATCGTTGATTTTTAGCAAACACTAATTTTAAGCATAGGGAGAAACATCGTCTAAGATGGCGGGCACCTCTTTCACCAAACCAACGATGGACTCAAATAGACCATATTGCCACCAGTCATCGTTGGAGAGGCTTGATAGAAGACTGTCGCTCGTTCTGAAATACATGTTTAGACTCTGATCATGCTTTAATACGAGCACGCATTTGCTTGCGCCCCATTGGACACAGAAAAACCATACTAAGAAGACCCATTAGAGTTGAACTGGAGGACGAGAAAGCCAAAAATAAGTCCCAGGAACAACTGAGTTCACATCTAGGCAGTTCTGTAAACGAGGACGGAAAGATATACAAACAGCTGTGGAAGCAGTAGTAACATTTATTAGTAATTTAAACCAAAGGGTTACGAAAAACCAATGGATTCCCTCTAAATCTATTGCACTGATGGATCCTCATAAACTCATCCTATCAGGCTCTGAACACGATGAAGAGCGAAAGCAAATCATATCTAGGTTAACCAAAAGTCTACGGAACGATCGTGAGCAGTGGTGGGCAACGGAAGCAAAAGAGATGGAAAAGGCAGTGGCTGTAGGCAACACCAAACAACTCTTCAGACTAATAAAAGTGTTGTGTCCCGATAAGGACAATGAATGGTAACTTTTGAGAACTATTTATGGACCAATATGATACATATACTTTTATTGTACAACTGTTAACTAACTAAACTATTCATATTCGTGTCCCCCTTATTATAGGCTTTATTTTGAAATATAAACTATTATTATATTGTGGTGTGGTCTACTTATATCCATATAAGTAGTATATGGTGTTGGTCAGGCATAGAATGTATTTTGGCAGAAGACCGGCGAGGGAAGAACTGAAATGAAGCGCAATCGGTAGGAAAATGCACGAACAATGGAATTAGAGAAGAAACAGTGAAGATCGAGACTATTGGATGTTAATTTGCAAATTAACTGTCCATTGTACGGTTTTCAGAATTTACTGAGATAGTCTGTAATTTCTGCTTAAATACATTCGATTGTCCCCACTCGTGTTCTGTTCACTACATTTGGTGTCGCTGCCAACCAGGAGGAGAAAGGGTGCTGTTCTGCGGGTCTGGAGTTGAGGTGCTAGTCGGGGCAGTCCGGTGCGGAGAGGTGACGTCGAGTGGAGTGTTCTGGCGGGGCGGTGTTGGCTGTGACGGGTGCTGTCGACGGAGAGGAGCGGTGGGAGGTGCGGCTGCTGGGCGGACATCGGATGTAGATGGCTCAGCAGCCCGGAGGAGTACGGGTGTTGAACGTCCCAGGTGTCGGGTGGATGCGGATGTTGGTGCCCCGACAGGTCGACGGAGCTATGGAGGTCAGCGCGCCGCAGACTCGACATTCTGATGGAGAGTTTGGCACAGACTGCAGTGAAAGAAGATAGTGGCATGGCGAACAGAACCATCGTATGAACGAATGCTTTAAAGGGGGGGACGAGTGTGGTGTGGTCTACTTATATCCATATAAGTAGTATATGGTGTTGGTCAGGCATAGAATGTATTTTGGCAGAAGACCGGCGAGGGAAGAACTGAAATGAAGCGCAATCGGTAGGAAAATGCACGAACAATGGAATTAGAGAAGAAACAGTGAAGATCGAGACTATTGGATGTTAATTTGCAAATTAACTGTCCATTGTACGGTTTTCAGAATTTACTGAGATAGTCTGTAATTTCTGCTTAAATACATTCGATTGTCCCCACTCGTGTTCTGTTCACGACAATATGATTTACCATTCTTGAATTATGCCCTATCTATTATTTACTATCTCTCCTATTCACAGCCACATTTGGCTAAGTCTTGTACGCATGATATTTTCTATTTTATGGTACGATATGGTCGGTTTGATTGGTTTATAAACTCAGTATGTTTGAAATACAATGAATCATACCGCAGAGGCTGTTCTGGACTTAACTGGCTGGGCTAAGCAGAAGCAGGACCGACAAGTACTTTAGACTACTCGTACACTTTTCGTGTATCACTGGTCCGGTCGATAATTCGCTGCTTTCTGATTGGCGGTCTTAGCACATTATGCATTATCAGGGAATCCAGACGGTCACAAGTTATAACAAAAAGAAACCGGAATTAAGAAGTCAATTGTAAGCGAGACAATCTCGGAAAAAGACGGAACCCTTATCTGCTCTCAGCCCAGACGTTTAGAACGATGGGTGGAACACTTTAAGGAGCAGTTTGGCTGGCCTTCAGCTACCGCACAACTACCCACTATTCTCAGACAGTCTGAATGGTACATTGAAGTAGGCCCCCCAATTCTAGCTCAAGTTCAAATGACTATAACTAATCTGAAACGAGGAAGAGCAGCTGGTCCAGATGGATTGGCTCCAGAGGTCTTTAAATATGGTGGTTCAATTTTAGCGACTAAGTTGACTAACATTCTGGCTAAAATCTGGGAGTTGGACTTAATCCCATCTGACTGGTCACAATCACTTATTGTCCCAATATATAAAAAGGGGTCAAAATCATCCTGCGATAACCATAGAGGGATTAGTCTGACTAGCATAGCATCTAAAATACTTGCCTCAATAATTATCAGGCGCCTAACTAAGACTCGTGAACTGCAAACACGAGAAAATCAGGCTGGCTTCAGACCTGGTCGTGGCTGTATCGACCACATATTCACCATTCGTCAAGTTTTAGAGCACAGACATGCTTATCGGCGTCCGACAATGATAGTTTTTCTTGACTTGAAAGCAGCATTTGACTCTGTAGACCGAGAGGTTCTGTGGCAGTGTCTGTCATTGAAAGGTGTACCTCAGAAGTACATAAAGCTTGTGAGGGTTCTTTACTTGAACACTACCAGTCGAGTGAGAGCTTATGACGAACTGTCATCTGATTTTACAACCTCAAGTGATGTCCGTCAAGGTCGTTCACTATCTCCATTTTTGTTAAATTTCATCATAGACCTACTACTGGAAATAACACTCTCGTCGACTGAATTTTCAGGAATTGATCTCCTACCAGGAGGTCCACTTATCGACTTGTAATATTCAGATGACATAGTCCTGTTTGGTGAAGACGCTGATAAAATTCAGAATCTTCTGTTAGCACTGAGTAACAATGCCAGGATATTTGGAATGCGTTTCTCCCCCTCTAAATGTAAGTTGTTACTCCAGGACTGGCCTGCGTCAACACCTGAACTAAGGATAAGGATTAAAGCAGTCGAACGCGTCAACAACTTCACTTATCTTGGAAGTGTGATCAGCCTAAATAGGTTGGTGTCCGACGAAATCTCAGCACGGATTCAAAAAGCTCTTTTAGATTTTGCCAACTTACGTCACCTATGGCGAAGGCGAGATATCCGTCTATCAATTAAGGGACGTGTATACTGCGCAGCAGTTCGCTCTGTTCTACTTTACGGATGCGAAACATGGCTATTAAGGGTAGAGGATACTCGTAAGTTACTACTATTTGACCACAGATGTCTTAGAAATATTGCTCGCATCTGCTGGGATCACCGGGCAAGTAAGAGTGAGGTTAGACTCACAGTGAATGAAATATAGAATAAGAATACATATAGTAATAGTCCCTAAAATAGCTCCGAGTTACTATTGCTTAAGTCTTCGTTTCATTACATAAGTTTTCCACTTTTCATATCGTAAAAAAAACTTATAAACAAAAGATTTTACTTATTATTTGGTATGAGAAATTTTCGATTTATATTAGAATTACGATGTAATATAAGAGAATGAACATAGTTCATTTAGAAGATAAATTTCAGGCTTGATTTCTGCTGAATTTTGAAAGCTGTTATAGCGTATACCTCTTAAGCTATTCACTCAACCGTGTAGATGCCACTGAACATTAGTTGTGTTGGGCTCAGTTGACCAGAACTTACGTAGATCTTCAGAATCAATGTATAAATTTAATGACACTTTCATTTTGACAATCGATTGGAATCTCTTTTTTAGAGATACAGTTCAGTTATTCTTCTGGATTCCGCTTTATAAATCTATTATTTTCTCCAGAAAATTAGTCAAATTTATTTTCTTTTAATTAATACGTACACGATTTTCGATTCAACTTTTTTAGTTAACTGGAAGTGCACGAGGAGATCGTGGTAAAGAACTAAGAAATAAAATTCTTGTATTATTGACAGATAATGCATTTGTATTTGATGAATCTGTACTCTCACAGCTTAAACAACAAAAGTCTAATGTGAGTTGATCAATTTAAATTTCCCTTTCTCTGCTCTGTTCAACTTTCGCTGCTACACTATCTGGTTATGCTTTAAACAATGTAGAACTTTTTAAATTATTTATCAAAGTTCAAAAACATGTCATTCATTCATGATAAACGTGGAACCAGGAAAAATGTGTGTTGATCCATGTCTGTCATATCACATAAGCACAACGAGATCAAATTAACAAGGTGAATAATCACTGAATCTAAATAATTTAATAGCAATACCAATAAAAAAAGACTAAGCATTAAGAATACTCAGACGTGCTAGGATGAAAGGTTATTCGGAAGAAATACCGGAACTGAAAATCTAGAGGAAGATAAAGTGTGAGTGCATATGTACCACTGTAATGGGTTGCGACTAGTGTCACTTAACGTTTCCAGCTACTGACGTTGGTTGATGCACAAACCCCAATCAAATGTTTTGGACCTGCCACTATAACCCAGACATTAATTTGAAGACAAAATACTGTTATTTATGAACAGTTTCTGTGGTATTTTCTATCCACTGGTTAAGAAATATTTCAAATTGTAAACCTATTAATGTTTGAAATGTTGCTACGTAAATCCTATCCATCGTACTAAAATACTGTTAGCGTAATTTTCTACAAAATTATGTAATACAGACGAATTTCCAGAGTTCTGGACAGGAAATTCCAGAAATTCTAATTTAGACTTGATGTTGGACGTAGGTTATATAGCTATCCAAAGAGTATACACTATATGAAGATAGTGATCACAGGGTGTTACTGTTATGCCTTTAGAGTACTTAAATGGTCTGTGCTTGATACTGAGACTGTAAACCCGTCGATGTTTGGTAAAAATCAAAAACCGGTGATAAGGGTTTATTTGACCTCCTAAATAAATCAAAATAACTTATGAATACACCACTTTTTATACGATTTATTTTCAGTCAGATAAAGTCTTATTTGTAGAAACATTTACAAGGTCATACAATGAAGCATCCGTAACCAAGAAAATATAACTAATTGACTAAGTCATATAATTACTCCTCAAAATGTGATTACATGTTGCAAGCGACTGGAAAAAATTTATTCCATGTCACTCCACTCGACTTAACCAGTGCTAACCATATTAATTATTACATTAACTCCATTGTTATGGTGTACAATATATTAATAAGTTCAACGTTCAAAATGGATATATAACATATGCTAAAGCTCTGGTAATATAATTGTAAAACAATGCTTCTTACTGATTCAACTTTCACCTGAATAATTTAATTATTAAACTTAATCTGTAAAATTTCATCATCCTAAAATTTATTTACTCAAAGGTTTCTTAAAGTTTGACAATTACCATACTCTGCGTCAAATTTGCCACATTCATTAAGTGTATTCCCCATACACGTTTGGGAATTTTTATTTTCAAGCATTTCAGTTTAAAATTTCTGAACAAATTATCTATTCAATGCTTGACGTCAGTTTTCCCAACTGTACACCATAAACAAAATCTTACCTATTTATTTACTTACGCCGACTAGCAATCTCCAACCCACTCTGTCCTGGGCCTTCTTTCCTAGTCCTATCCAGTTTTTGTTCATTCTTCTCATGTCTGTCTCCATTTCTCGGCGTAATGAGTTCTTTGATCTTCTCTTTTCCTTTAGCCTTCATGATTCCATATGGGGGCTTGTCTTGTGACGCAGTTGGGCGCTATCCTGAATGTGGGTTCTATCCAATTCCAGAGCTTCTTCCTGATTTCTTCCTCCACTGGAATCTGGTTTGTTCTCTCCCACAGTAACTTGTCGCTGATAGTGTCTGGTCAACGGATCCGAAGTATCTTGCATAGACAACTGTTGATAAACACCTGTATCTTCTGGATGGATGGCCTTCGTAGTTCTCCAGGTTTCCGCCCCATAAGTAGAACTGTCTTAACATTTGTATTGAAAATTCTGATCTTGGTGTTAGTTGACAGTTGTTTTGAGTTCCGGATGTTCTTTAGTTGTAAATATGCTGCTCTTGCTTTGACAATCCGTGTCTTCACATCTGCATCAGATGCACCGTGTTCATCGATGATGCTGCCCAGATATGTAGAGGTTCTCACATCCTCCAGAGCTTCTCCTCCAAGTGTAATTGGATTGATGCATGCTGTATTGCATCGAAGAGTCTTGCTTTTCCCTTTGTTTATACTGAGATCTACTGCTGCTGAGGCTGCTGCAACACTGGTCGTTTTCTCCTGCATTTGTTGTTGCGTGTGTGATAGAAGAGCCAGATCATCTGAGAAGTCTAGATCGTCCAGCTGCATCCTGCCTGTCCACTGTATCCCGTGATGAATTCCGTTCAATTGATTGTTCCACAATGATTCGTAGAGTTACGTTTTGGTCCATACACGATCGATCCTTACGGAATCCAGCCTGTTGATCTCGAAGTTGGGCGTCTGCGGAGTCCCTCATCCTGTTTAACAATATAAACAAAATCTACCGTTAATAATTATTTTTATGATAAGGTGTTGTGGGAATTATTGAATTCAAAGTGTTGAGGGACCATGCTCTTACTCTATCGCAAAATGATTGAAGTGAAAAATATAGACTCTGTGGTCTACTGCTTAATGTCTCAGCATGATGCTTGAATGTTATGGGTCCAACCCTAGGTAGTGTGAATTATTGAGTGATATGTATCTGAAAGTTGAGTGTAGAATTAAACTCTATAGAGTGAGTACAGAGTGTCGTTAACAATGGATAGGGAACACATATTACATGGAAGTTGATAAATAACGAACAATTAATTAGAACTCAAAGTTTGATCGACATAGTATTTGTCGTGGAACTTAAAGCTCTATAATTATATCAATAGCAGAAATGAACATTATATTACACTCCACAACCGTGCACTTCAAATACACACGCTTTCTACGTACTTGTTTAAACACTAATGAAAACGAGAAAACGGGATTCTTTAGAAAGCTATAATTGGTATATCATAGGTTTAAACATATGTACCCGGAAAAGACAAGCTGAGATCTTGACTAAAGACATGATAATCCTCTAATAGCATTTCCTGTTTAAAAGTCCCACCTAGTATTTGATCTCGAGATAGCCAAACCTGTCACAATGCACACTTAACTGATTCAAAATTAAGTCAGAATACGTAATGCTATTTCTTCATGATATCTTTGAATTGATGAAATATTAACAAATTACTGTACTAAATCACTTAGTTATGTGATGGAATCACTTAGTTGAATATAGGATTTAACATTGCTTATTCTAGTGTTATGTATCAAATTAAGATTTTTACTACTTCAGTTGGATAAATACATTATGTTGTTTACTATATAATTTGCTGCCTTATTTCATATCTTAGATTACAACATTTATATATTCCCTTGGTGAACCTGTTGGAGCGGCTTATGAACATAAAATGAAGGCGTGTGCAACAAACGGTAAATTGATGCATTTAACATTAAAGTGTAGTGTAATATTATTTTGAAATCTTCATTTCATTTTAACACTGGCAATCTGATAAACTGTGAATAATCAAGCAAACCATATAAATTTCAACATCTTCCTAACTAACCTTCATTGTTGTTTGGATGCATGAAATAAATGACAGCATGGAGTGTTGTTTCACTGTTGATCATTGTTCGGGTATGTGTAGGTAAACGTGGGGGAGGATAACCCGCTTTGTTTAATGTAATGTAGTAAAATAAACTTCTATGAGGATCTAAATTAGTTTATGGAATAGATTTCAATAAGAAATATTTAAAACATCCAATTATTTATCCACAGTTATTCCATCAACTAATTTGGTATCCATTTTTATCTTAACTATTCTAATTTCCTGGTTAATACTGAACAACTAATTCTTTTCATTTCTGTAGTATATTACATTTACAAATTTCTCCTTAAAAAGATATATTGTTTTATCAATAGATCTAATATTAATTAATATTCCTTTAGATTATTATCAGTATCTACCGACAGTCGGAGCAGTCTCAAATTTAATGAAGGTAATTATATTATTATTTTGATTTTTATATGATTGTGACTTTATAAGGTTCTATCAATCATATATTGATCTCAGTCAGGGTATAATGATAAACTGAGAAACACCAGACATTTTGAAGGCCTTGTCAGGTATCAAATCCAGAACTTTCAGGTCTCTTGAGGATTGCTTAGCCTGTAAATCCACTGATTTAGGATTCAAAGGTACATTTTCAAATTTATTCAGTTTGCGATATAGTATGACAATTACCCGATGTCATGGTTGACAACGGCTTCACTTCAGACATCTGAATTCCGTCAACTAATACTTCTCATTAAAACTTCAGGGACATTTCAAAATCAGTCATTAATGAGCTGACTATTAATAGATTAGCTGTCGTAGGTTCCTCAAAGATTGGTTTTGCGTGCGATTCGAATGCTCTGAGTACAGTCTTTAGCAGGATGATGCGAGCGTGTTGTTAATGAGTTCAGAAGTAGGACGAAATGTCCGTCCAGTGCTCTCAAATTTATTATAACACCCCAATTGAAATTAATCTGTTATGATTAAAACCTATAGATCGAACCAATCACCATAAGCATCTTGAAATAAATTAAATAATTGTTCGTCCAAATGGGTGATTAGCAATGGTATGGGCTGACAAATTGTGCATGTAGAGTTTTAAAGCTATAGTTTCACTGTAAGAAATACTTTTTGTTTTTTGAATTCATTTAAATTTTACTCGTAAAGTGTTGTTATCTTTGGTTTTTACAATTTCCAAGTTATTTAGACATTTGTATAAGCTCATTAGAAATCCTAGCAGGTTCCTTTTGAAGGCAAAAACATACATACACACTTAAAAATGTCAATTACACTGCACAGAACAACCCAGTTAAGCTCAAATAGTCCAAAAGTGCTGAAAAAGTGAAACACATCAACATTGATGTTAGTGGGAAACCAAAAAATTGAGGAGAACTTAGTTTGTGGTGCGATGTGGTTTGTTTGGTTTGTATATAAACCCAGTGTGTTTGTGTTATAACTAGTAATATATATTCCTTAATACGACCCAGCTGTTCCTATTGCTCAGTATTCTTGGACACCAATGCACTCGACAAGTCCCAAAATCAGAACACGGTTGAACAGGGACGAAATTATATTCCAATTAACAAGGATAGTGAAGTAGGAAGCGCAATAAGAAATATGTTAGTATATTTATAGATTTTACATGAGAAGCTTCTAGAGTCTTCTCCAAGCAACGACTAGAGCTGATTGGATAAGAATTAGCTAATCAGCGTGCAACAACACCATCATGCATGAAACATGCTTTCATCCAATCTATGTCCCGCTAACACCTCCATTTTGAGCGGATTCGTAGGATCCGGTGCTAGGGTTCAACTACAACCGAGTGACTGGCCTGTGCTTCCGATTTGTCCATCTAGGCAATAAGGAAGTTGTATCACTCTTTGCTTGCACAGAAATTGACCTGTCTGTTCCGGGCGTTTTGATTTCAAAGGTGTCTAGCAGAACGTCAAGAGGTATTCGATGTCGATTCTCGCTGCTGGCTATCGAAGTTGCTTTCAGTTGGTTAGCTTGACGTATCCAAACTTCTGAGCCAACTGACACTTCGTACACCACTTCCCCTCTCTTTCTCACGATCCGACCAGCTGTCCACGTAGGATGTTTACCATGATAGTCCATAGCAAGTACTTTTTGACCCACCATGAACAATCGTCTTTGTGCCCTATGTTGTCGATTGAACCGCTTCTCCATCGATAAGTTTCGTTGAGGCTCAAAAGCTGTAGTCGGACGGATGACATCGAAATGTGTTCGTATTTTTCTGTCAAGTAGAGCTTCTGCTGGAGAGACCCCGTTAATCGTCTGAGGGTTTGGTGTAGAGCGATAGATAGGCAGGAACCTCTCTAAGATATCGTCAATGGTACTCTCCACTTTAGATTTTTTCAGAGCATTTTTAAATGTGCTGCCAAAGCGTTCCACTTGACCGTTGGATTGGGGGTGGAAAGGAGGTGTTCGGACATGAGTGATTCCGTTCTGCCGACAAAATTCTGAGAAGATAGACGTAAATTGTGTTCTTTTGTCGCTAACTATCAATTCTGGGACCCCGAAACGACTGATTAGGTGACGTAGCTTTTTGACTGTGCAGCTTGCAGTTGAATGTTCCATGATGAAGATGATACGTCTTAGTGATTGAACGCTATATTCGGATCCTAAGCTAGTCTTGTACCCCCAAGCTAAAACTACACAGCGACTTGAACACGAGAGAAAAGGCACACATATGAGGGAAGCACTTTACTGCAAAGGTTCATTTATGTACAGAAAATATAGGGTTTGTATAGTATTTTAAAAGTTCATGGGTTTTACTGAAAATTCTAGAATACTACTAAAAATAGTAGAAGTGTAATAATCAGCCAATCAGAACCTCTGCATGTGACTTTTTACCTTCGCGATATTTCTAGCTAAACTTCTAATCAAACGTTGATTGGATAAAATGCTTCTTAATGTTTCCTAAGCTTGTCATGTCTATTGCGAATAATTTGCAGGATCATCCAAACAGAAGATTTCCGGCCACTTGCTGTATGCATCAACTATCAGAAGGTAAGTTTGTCCATGGAATGGACCAGCAAAGTCTAAATGTATACGCTGCCACGGTGACTGTGGTATCGGCCATGATTGTAACTCTGCTTTTCGTGGTGCTTTTGCTGCCAATTCACATTTTGTACACGAACGGGATAGCTGCTCGAGTTGGGTATCTAATTGTGGCCAGTATACATAACTTCGTGATAGCGCTTTCATACGGTTTATTCCGGGATGTCCTGCATGCAGTTGTTCGAGAACTGCTGGTTGCAACTTTTTCGGGGTTATGACACGTTCAGCAAACATGAGATAATCGTTGATGATTGAAAGAGATAGTCTGCGCTGATAAAACTGCCGAAGCTCTGTTGAACTGATCTTCGAGGGCCACCCTTCTAGGTGGAACTTTCTAACTTTTTGTAGAACAGGGTCTCGAAGAGTCTCTTTTCTGACTTCATCTGACGACACTGGAGTGTTTCGGATTTCCGCTGCTACTACACTCCGTATTTCTGTATCAACTGATATGGAGGCAATGATCATGTCCTCCAGTCCAGGATGTTGAACTTCAATAAGTCGTGAGAGGGCATCGACTTGACCGATAGTATTGGTTGACTGATACTTTATGTTAAAGTTGTAGCTCAAAAGCATTGTTGCCCAGCGCTGTAGTCTGTTAGCTATGTAAACAAGAATCCCTTTCTTGGAACCGAATATTGCAATCAGTGGTTTGTGTTCTGTCAACAGAGTGAAATTACGGCCGTAAAGCATTTTATGAAATCTTTTGACAGCAAAAATGATTGCCAGGGCTTCCTTTTCGATTTGAAATGTAGTTGCGTTCGGCTTGGGTAAGTGATCTGGTAGCATGGGCAATCGTCTTATCTGTTTTGTCTGGAAACACGTGTGATATAACTGCTCCAACTCCTTGCTTAGATGCATTAGATGCAACAACAATTCCCAAGCTGGGATCGAAGTGTGTCAAGAGAAGCTTTGAGCTGACCATTAAATTGACTTTGCCAAAGGATGCTTGACATTCTGCTGACCACTGCCAAGGTTTATCTTTCGATAATAATTCCTTCAGAGAGCCTCTCACTCGATGCATTTCAGGCAAGAATGTGCTGTAGTGACTAACTAATCTCAAGAATGACCTTAATGAAGGGACGTCAGTTGGTACGAGCATTTTCTGAATGACTTCTATATTGGCAGGGTCTGGTCGTCGGCCGTTCTTATCTAAGATGAAACCAAGGTATTTGATCGAATGCATGAAGCAAATACAATTTTCTTCACGTAATTGGAAATCATACTCCAACACTTGGTTAAGAACTTGGTGTAGACCATCGGAAAGTTTACTGTTAGTGGAACCCATAACTGTGATATCATCTAGAAAAGCTGCTGCACCCGGTATACCTGTTAGCATCGCATCCATTATTTGCCGAAAGATCGCAGGTGCGGTCTTGATGCCAAATGGTAGACGGGTGTATTGAAATAACCCCCGATGAGTGTTGATAGTCAGAAGCTCTCTACTATCGTCATCTACCTCTACTTGCAGATAGGCATCCGAAAAGTCTATTTTCGCGAAACATGTACCACCATTTAGTTTAGCAAACAGGTCTTCAGGAACTGGTAACGGATATTGATATTCATCCGATGCAGCATTTAAACGCGTTGAGAAATCAGCACATATGCGGATAGTTCCATTGGGCTTTCCAATTACTACAATCGGTGAGGCTCATGCAGAATAATTAACTGGTTGGATTACACCAGCTTGCTGCAAACGATTAAGTTCCTGATCGACTAATTCAAGAGCAGCATATGGCACAGGACGTCTCGGACGAAAAATGCGTTTGGCATCTGGTTTCAGTGGTAAATGAGCTTTCACTTTAGTGCAATGACCAAGGCTTTTCTGAAAAACAGAGGCAAACTTTGTCTTCAGTTTTTTTAGTAACCTTTCACCAGTCTTCTTTGCAAGTACTGGAGAGTCCAATGCTGAACATGACACATTGCAGACACTGTTAGTGGGTATATTCATTAATCTAAGCTTTTCTAACATATCTAGCCTAAGGAGATCAAGGTTTGGCCGTTCATTTAGATAGCATGTCCCTTTACAATCAGTTCCATTGAAGGAAAATTCAGATTGTAACCCGCCAACTAGTTTTAGTACACCTCCTGATGCGTGTTTAGCAGTTTTCTTCGATGGTTTCATTGGCGGCTTTCCCAGCAAGTTATACGTCTCTCTAGACACTAGAGTAATATCGGCTGCTGTATCAATTTGAAGACGAGCCGCTATACCATTAATCTGGATCGTAACATTCTTTCTCCGAATGTCATAGTCTGTTTGAAAAGCCGCTACCAGAGAAAGAGATTTAAAGTCAGCTGATTTCACCACACGTGAAAGACGTTTATACTTCTTCTTGGGCTGGGATGTACGATTCGTTGGACAATGTT